TAATCCCAATTCTGTACAAGTAGAAAATATGGAAATTTAACTCAGATTCAATTACTATTAGTTTCTGTTTTTAAAGATTCTACCAATAATTTTTAAATTTACTTTAACATTTTCAAAATAAAATTTTTATTAACGACACATTCATAATTGATTCTTCAAATTTTACATTATAAAATGTTTATTATTAAAAAAAGTTGATTTGCCAAATGTTTTTAACATGATGAAGCATAAATTTAATTTATTAATTACATATTTCACCATCACATAATTTATCAAATGTACTAAAATAGTGTTCTGTTATTATTTAGTCATTTTCTAAATACGTTATTAATAAGTAATAAATATATAACCTCAAAAGATCTTTAAATTAATACAAATTATATCCAGACAATCAATTTCTTATTAAATGCTAAAGTTATTTAAAAAAATATATATTTTATTCCGAAATAAAAAAAAATAATTAAATAGCAAATTTAAAGAAATCACCTTAAATATTGTGTACAATAAAGTTTATTGTCGCAAAATAATAAATTAAGAAAAATCATGTAATTTAAACAAATGTTATGTCAACCTTAATTTTTCTCCATCATTGTTATTATAAAGTATGGTTGGTTTTTTATAATTGATAGAAGCCAATAATAAACCCATGTTCCCACATCAATGGAACTTAATGATTTCATAAACGAATGCATAATTTTATTTTTAATATAAATTGCTTCTAATTTGATGCAATAGTTAAATATGTGTGTAAATTTGACTTGTTTAAACCAATTGAATTTTTATTATATTTTAATTAAGACTTTAATATTACCATTAATGAAACTAAAAATATATTTATAACGGACTATTTTTTTTTAGTTTATATATTAAAACTATTTTCTGAATATTCTATCTTGCGATGCATCTGGTGAAACGATGAATAAAGAACATGTATTACACATATTTAATATTATTATTTTTTAAATGTGTAGAACTAAACACTGATTATTGATGAATTTTCTATTTGAAATGTTCTGTGGTATTCTACAGCGCTAGTGAAGTGTTTAGCTGTTTCGTGTTCGACAAATTCATTAATCAGGACTGCCCTGTTAATTCGACTCAGTGGCCTAGCCCTGCCTTTAAATACAAAATACATTACACCGTTCCAAGCCACTCCTAAGTACATTGGAATTGTATTAAATTGCTAATGTTGCTATCATCTCCAATGGGATACTTATACAAACATCAGTAAATCCTATTGCTTCCCAATCTTATGGCTTCCCTAATACAGCAAAAATAAAATATATATTTCTTTACGAGAAATTCAGTAATTTTTATACGTATATCGGTTTCCCTTACAGTATATAGAACATATATATATATATATATATATATATATATATATATATATATATATATATATATTATATTTCACACACACACACGCATATATATATTATTTCTGTAAAGTCGAAATCTATCTAAATATTGACAAAAGACTATTTAAAAATCCTCCCAAACAGACTGAAGTTAGTTATTTTCTTCTGACCAGTAATTAGCTCTCCTGCCAAATGGATTCCCAAATAAATTTTATTTTTGGAATAGGTTATAATGGATGTGCCCGGACATCATCCAACATTGTTTGTCCAACGGATTATGTTATTTAACATGTTATATAATGTCATATTGGTTTCATTTAAATCCAGTAAGAACATATTATTAATGATTAACATAAATTTAAGTACAGTATCTGTTAAGCTTTTTTTAATATTAATTTATTTTGATTTTAATAATAATTAATGATTCAAATATATAATTGATAGATTGCATTAGAATATACCATTGGCTACTTGCAATTCATATTTATATAATATGTCACTATTAGATCACAAATATCAATATTTTTGATTAATTGTTTTTCAATAAAATTGTATTATATTTCTACCAATTTATAAATAATCTATAAATTTAAAATGACTGTAAGAGTAGATTTGTACATTTAATTAGGTAACATATAAAATAAATATTATTAAGTATGTTAAATATTATATGAAATGAAATATTAAGTCATCATTCGCACCGGAACTTTCTGAATATAATTTAAATTCAAATATTTTTATAATTTGAAAAAATACATTCAGTAATTCATAACTTTTATTTCTAATAATTCAATATTTTTTAACAATAATTCCTTAAGATTAATACATTCAAATATTTGGTCTATTTTAGTATTGTAAAAATACACATCTTTAATAAATTAATTTAATTCTTGTACATGAGGCAAATATGAATTTAAATTATTTGAAATTGATCTTTCATTTATTAAAAAAATATTTAAATAAACATTTTAAATAAAAATAATGTCAATACAATTTATAATAAATTCATTCGATATCATTATAGAGGCATAAATACAAATATTTCGGATGAAAAATGTTTTAAAATAACATGTTTCAATTAAGGATTTATTAATATTTTTATATTTTTTTTTATTTCTTCGTGTAATGTCTTATTTAATGAATTAATTTCACTAAATTTAAAATTGTTTCTGTAATTAAATTAATTCCACAACTTAGTCATAACATATATTTTAATTTCCTTTCTTAAAATAGTATTTAATGTATATATATTTTGGTACAGTATAATATGCTTATAGGTACATAAAAGAAATATGTCGGTTATTTATTCTTTATCGAGTACTTATACATTTTAAAATTATCATAAAGAGTTAAATTACCAATATATTTTACATTATATATTTGTTATTATATAAATAGTGAATATTGAAATATTATTTCATATATAAACAACCAATGAAAACCTACTATTGTATATGACAGTTGGCTATTCCATGATATTGCTTAAGGCGCTCGAAAGCATCGGTATAAGTCCGGCACACTTTGAACAATTATTGTTGACTGGAGATTACCATATTTCCGGTAGTTGATTTGTGACCCGGTCAAGTTGATTATTATCTTAATATCATCCAGTGAGGTGTTGATATGTTGATTTTATGATACGGATTAGATGAAATCATTTGTTATTTATCATGGCATAATCGAAGCTCAATCCAAAAGAAAAAACCCGATGAACATTATAAGCGTGAATAGAAACGTATGTAGGTTAAGAAGTAAAAATCCAAATGAATACAAAATGAGTAATATTTATTAATTAAAATATAAGTTTGTTTCACTAGTTATCTAATAAACAAATATGACATGACACATTTATCTTGGAATATTAAAATTAGAATCTAAGTTAATATAATATTTTTAAGATGTGTATAAAAAGTAGAATTTGATTGGTATAGTTATCAGCAGGAAAATTATAAATTTGTACAAGGTAAACATGCATAAAAAAAATTTCAACAACCGGCTCTCAAAAACATAACTGAAATTATTTATTAATTATTAGAAAATATCTGCTGTATACATAAAATGATTTAAAACAGCAATTGATATTATCAAATAACGCTCCATAGCCCCATATCTGACTCAATGGACATATCTGACAAAAATGAAATATTCTGTCAATAAAAAAATTAATGTATCCTGGTTCCCATAAAATTATTCTAAAATATCACATAATTTCTGATTTGTTGAAGCCGAATTATAAATTTAAAACACTACAAGGTGAGAATATAATATATATTTTCCCTAATGTTATGTTAAATCTCTTGACAAGACCTTCGTCTTGTAGCGTGTTATGTAAGATGTCCGAAATAATTTTCCCATTACTCAAAAATCTCATTCATTAATTTGTATGTTTTTTTTTTTAAGTAAAAGAAGGTAGAAACCATATAAATTTGTATATAATATAAATTAATATTGATGTAACGTTTCACAACAAGGTCCATTGTGTCGTTATATTAAAATTCATGAAGGGATTTTATTAATAAATATTTATGTTCATATGTGAAATAAAATTTAAGAGGACGGGGTTGATTGGGATAGTGACGACATAGCGTCTTGTTAGCAGTTTGACACGCATGATGCTTTCCTAGTTTCACAGTTAACTACGTAATTGGCCCATTAGTGGCAACGAATCCAAATTATACACCATCGCTACACTAACATGGTTCTACGCTACGTGTTTATAGTACCATATTTTATCATAACTGCTTTGTCTAAAAACAACAATGAAAATTAAATTTGAAAAAAATAAAGATAACAAGTGAGAAGATTTTAGATCATGTACTAGCCTATCATCTTCATGTACTACTGGGTGAAGTTAACAAAGATAGACAAAACGAAAATATATTTAATAAAAATTTGATGAAGACACAATACACTATCCACTGACAAGAATAATTGATATATTTGTTATTTGATTGATAAGTCAAAATAGATAATCTTCAAATTATTAGCAAAACGCAAAGCGGCGAATTATAAATTGATAAAGCTCAACTGAACATGATATTTCAGAAGATTTTTAATAAAAACAATATTCTTATCAACCATGTTTATAAATATTTTTCCGAATAATTCGAGTTCATCATACAAAATAACTATTTTAGTAACAACGAATATTTATTTTATGGATTTTACAACCCGCAAAAAGTTGTGATAACAAAATTAAAAATTTCAACACACATAAATTTCACAAAACAGTTTAACACTAATCCATCCAATTTTTTTTTTTATACTGTGTGCATAAACAAGATAATATTTCTTAGAAAACTATTGTACAAAACACATTTAATATCTCTAGGTAAACAAAAATGAATTCATCCTGATTTAATCGGGATTTCGAAGTATTGTAATTAAGAAATAGGTGTTAGAATAACACTTCTGCAATCGAAACATTTTTTATTCAAAGTAAACAGACCGAGAAATTCGACGCAGGAAAGGAAGCAGTGCCCAAAGCGGCCGTAACCTTCCCAGTATGGAAGGTAACATAAACAGAGCGACGTGGTCAACAGCGCAGCGTCCCGGACTTTTACGGGACCCGATCCTCGACAACAGTCCACGGAAAGGAAGAAAACGAAGTTAAGGAGGTATAACACAATCATTTTCACTCACCTGGTTAGTAGGAGAGAGGGGCGCCGCTGGAAAGTGAGCCATATCTGCAAGTCGAATCACTGTTGTAGCCGCACATGATACATGTTGTCTTCAGCACATAACAAGTCCGTTCCGAGTTAAAATCACAATCACAATGATATTGCAGTAAGTTATGTCGCACGTCTCCGAGCGCGGTTGGCTACGGTAGCTACGGCTCAGAGACCGTCAAAAAAGTGATTTTTCCCTCGGGCAGGCTGCCCCCACTCCTACGGTTCTTCCCCCCCTACTCCCCGGACACGCGAGGAGGGGGGAAGGGGACCGTACAAAAACCGGCTTGAGGGGAGGGGGCACCCCGCTTTTTTCCCCCACTCCTTAGCTGAGGGGGGGAGTCGAGCTTTTTTCCGGGTGGAGCTTGGCTCCGCCCCCCGACCAATGGGCTCCGGCCTTACAAGCAGATCAATGGCTCCTCCTTGCCGCCGGTCGGGAGGGGGGGTAGAGTAGAGACAAATTACAAGACGGGGGGACTACCCCCACGACACCCTGTCCTAGGTCCCTGTAAACACAACAACACACCACCGACCCCTACACACAACCCCATCCCGCTCAGCTCAAACAACACATCCCCACTCCATGTCTTATTTTATTACTTCTTAGTTATTGTCTCCCTTTAGTTAACATTACACACTCTTGCGATTCTTCTCTTATTGATATTTCATTACTTTCTTTATTCGGTAAAATATCTATTTTATCTTGGCTCCTTTTTTTTTTCTTTGTAACATCTTTATCTTAGGTTATTGCTGCGTCTTGTCACGTTGGGCCTTTAAACTACTGCAGAATACCCCTTCCTATACTGAATAATATTTGTTAGAAATAATAAGTTCAAATATTATCACTTCTTCTTTTATAAAATACGGGATTATGATTAATCAAAAGTCATTTTAACATTAATTATTTTTAGACGAAAGTACAATTAAGAAGTTTTTGCAACGATTATATTATTATTTGTAGTTTAGTGTTTAACTACCAAATTCAATATTAACGTAACGAAAATTATCGCTTAAAATTTTTTTTATTCATAGATTATTTTTTTTTACTTTTATATTCTACTGGTTTACAATTTTATAGAATTAACATAAGATTTTATGAAAGGGTGATATATTGGTAGTTAAAATACTGGGAAATCTTTTTTAATTATTATTTCGTCGTTTTCTCTGTTTGAATTTAAATTTAATTATATCGAAATGAAATAAATTTGCTTTAGTGATGCCATTGTACCAGTTGTAACACCATATAATTGCACAATTCATAACTTATAATAATCTATGATTTATACATATTACAATTTCATGGGTTAATGAATTAATTAATCTTTTAATTTATTAATATTAATTTATGATTGAAATAAATTTTATCGTGAATAAGTTGACAACGCCTAACATCACAAAGCACAGAAAGAATAAACCGAAAGAAAAAATTATGATATTATGATTGAATAATAATATTCTAATTAATTACAAGTAATAGTAACCATGAAAAAATAACAATAAATCTATCGATCAAGAATAAATACTTTAGAAACTAAGAGTAATATTACTTTCATTATTTTCAAATAAACAAGCCAAAATAGTGGCTCTCTATATTTTAATGTTATTTAGTTTCATTCAGAAATTTTTTTATTCTTTTTCTATTAACTATAGCGCTTATTTTATAATTTATCTTATCTGAACACCGAGTTAGTCTATAAAAAATTAATTAGTTCGTTATAGGGAAAGGATATACAAAATTAAAATTCATGCACTGTACATAACTTCATTCAGTTACTAATGGCATTTAAATTCTAAATTAAAATATAACCCGAAATAGTTCGTATTAACATTTATGATAAATTAACCGAGACCTTTTTAAATTATAGAAGTCCTTGCTTTTTTATGATTTTCTAAGGATTATGGTATTCTTACTATGTTAGGTTCGTACAGTTGGTATTATTATAGTCGGTATATTATTGTTATAATCATTTACCTATAGAAATTATTAAATTCCAAGAGCCATTCTGAAAAGTCATCAATTAGTGGTTTATAATTTTATTGGATATATTGCTATACGTATGATCTTACTGCCTGAAATGTTGTTATAACACATTATAAACGGATAAAATGGTTTAGATTTATTACTTCCTTTTTTTTAATATATAGTTTTTGAAAGCACTGTTAAAACTTAAAATTATCGATACTTCCAAAAAATGTTCAATAAGTATTGTCTATATGAATAGAATATTTACTTAATAATTAATAAACCTACCTAATCAAAATCCGACAAGGTCATGTTCACCTTTCAAATAAATTTTATTCTAACAGTTCTTGGTATACTTTAACTTAGCTTTTTTTTTTTAATGTTTGATTCATTCCGAAAAGAGATAATTGATGATGAAATTATTATTGAATTATACTTATGTAAAATATTAAAAATTATTTGTGCGATAAACTTTTAGTTGTGTTCTTTTCAATATTTGGAGGATTAATTCTATAATTTTTTTTTTAGAAATTGTTCTGAAATGCCCTTTCTATGTTAGCATTATTTTAAATTAACTTATCAGTTATATTTTCATAGAAATTTTACCTTTTTTCCAGTGTATAATTGATTCCAGAAAAAAAATATGTATTACAATAAATAAACCTTGTAAAATATATTACCCAAATATTTGAGAAGTTACATGATTTATTAAATTGTCTCATTTAAAATAGATAAAAGATGTCTTATGAATTTTTTTAGACTATTTATAATTTACTTTTTTTTTTTTTTTTTGTTTTTTGTTATCCAAGAATGAGGTTATTTAGAGTTACTAACAGCTTCTCTTCAACCAAATTATGGAGTACGGAGAAAATTAGTTTCTACGGAGAAGGATACCACAGGGATACACGATGAGACCTTAGTTATATACTCTTATCGTCAAAGTAATCTGGGTAACTATTAAGTATTACTAAGCAATTTAAATTAAGTCGGAATAAGATGAGTTAGAAAGGGAGATGGTTGGGGTACGGGAGGGAGCGACGGGAGGGGGTGACGTGGGGGTTGTCCCAGCAGGGGTCACCTCCCACCCCAATCTGGGCCCTCTCACTCTCGCAGCTGCCCTCTCTGCCTTTCAGCTTCACGCTCCGATCCCCTGTCCTCCTCCTCAGTGTATACTATCAAGTTTCTACGTCATCTTGAATGGTAACAATCGCGAACGATTTGGATACAAACAGATGAATTTGAACTCCTTTACAAGGCACGACTAAAATTTTTGAAACAACAAAAAGTCTGCCATCTTTCCAAATATATTAGTTATTCTAAAATGTTTATTACATAAAATTTATGTATAATTTTTTTTTTTTAATATTGAAATCATAATTAAATAGCTGATGCGCCCGGTAGAAGGAGACGTAGTTGTACTTCAGCAATAAGAAAAATGTCATAATATATCTTATGAGCGAAATCTTAATAGGTATTTATTAATAATACAGCATTTTTATTATTATTGTACCATTTCTTATAATTATAAAAAAAAATTGAAATTGAAATTTATATCTATTTATTAATTATAACGGATGATATTTCTTGAAGTAGTTAATCTTTTTTTAAAACACAATTTCTTCATATACATATTCTTCATTCTATAATAGTCCACGGTACAGATCCATTTTTATCAAATTATTAGCATCCACCTTAAACTTCGTGAATGGCTTCACTTTATCGAACTATACAAAATTTTATATACGAAATTTCTCAAACATATCGTTTTCTCATTAAATTATTAAATGTAATGAAGTACTAAAAACCCATAAATACGCATTGGCATTCCGCTTGCTTGAATCGGAAGATAATTTGATCACAAAATCAGAAAAAATAGCAGCCTACTAAAATATTGAGCCATTTGGTCTATATTACCTTGTTATTTTGATATTCTGAGAGAGGAGGTTACTGAAAAACGGCCCATATTTTTATAGGCCACCTTTTTTTCTCGATTTTTTTAAACAAATTATATACAATTCTATTGAAAAGGAAACGGATGTTTTTAGTACTCAAAACATCGTACATTTTAATGTAATTATATATAATATATAAACGAATTTTTCTCATTTTTATGTATTTACTGTATTTTCGTATCTATAAATAAGGTTGAAATTCACAAAAAAACGTAAAAACGTTAAATTGCGTCTTTTTTCAATTAATTGACGATGCCACGAACGAACTAATCCACAATAGCAAATAATAGATATCGGTTTTTATACGATATCTACTATAATACCCAAATCGTTTAAAGTCGATTTCTTGTGGGCATTACAATACCTCCAGGCAATAAACATGGAAATGGCGCCGTAAAATATTGTCACAATAAGTCTATCAATGGAGTACTACTTATGCGTAGCAGTATTTCCACAAACTAAAGTCATTCAATTAAACACTTATTATTAAATCTAATACACATTTCTACATAATCCATACTGTTTTAAATTGTTAATATAATAAATAAAATTTTTTTGCAGGAGGCCTCGTTTTTTGGAAAGATGGGACAGGTGTATGGGCTACTTTATAAATGATATTAGGATTAAAACATCGCGCTCGCTAAGGTTTATCTTTATTCGTAAAAATTAAAAATATTAAAGAATATTCTATAATACCAAATGCATAATTATAAAATATAAGTCTTTGCGAATCGGTATTTCGATATAAAATGCTCGAACCTAATTCTCTTTCCGAGTTTTTTCTGCTTCTGTACACTCGCTGGCAAAATACTACAGGAATATGATCAACTAATATGTACTTTTTTTTCCTGTTGGTATTACAGACCTTGCTGTACACCCTTTTCCGCCTTCATCGAACTTCTCCATATCTGACTATCTTGGCCTATTTTTTTTTCAGGTATCTACATGCAGCACTTTTCATTGCTGTGTAGTCTTCCTTATAGGCTGTTCCGTGGAATCTGGCCCACTCGTCTAAACCTCCTTGACCTCATATCATGAGATATAGATTGATGTGAATATGAACTAATAACAGGAATCCCACCTATTCAAGGCATCCAATTAATAACAGTTAGGGATGGTTTAATAATTTTTTATAAAAATTAAAAAAGCAAAACAAAACATATTCCAACGTTTCATTATATTTTAATTTACTGCCAATATTTAATCTGTTTTTGAAATTAATAAAATCTGCTTAGTTGAATCATAAAACTAATTATTCG